GGCTGCAGGTGGATATCTGCTCCACCGTGGACCTCCATGGGCTGCAGGGGGACAGCCTGCCTCACCATGGTCTTCACCACAGGTTGCAGGGGAATCTCTGCTCTGGTGCCTGGAGCACCTCTTCCCTCTCCTTCTTCACTGACCTTGGTGTCTGCAGAGTTGTTTCTCTCACATATTCTCACTCCTCTCTTTGGCTGCAGTTGTGCAGGTTTTTTTGCCCCTTCTTAAATATGTTATCACAGAGGCACTACCACTGTCGCTGGTGGGTTCAGCCTTGGCCAGTGGTGGGTCTGTCTTGGAGCCTGCTGGCATTGGCTCTGTTGGACATAGGGGAAGCTTCTGGCAGCTTCTCACAGAAGCCACCCCTGTAGCCCCTCCACTATCAAAACTTTGCCACACAAACCCAATACAGTTATTTTCTCTGTTCTTACTCTCCTTACTATGCCTTGCTGTGTAGTGTGAGTGTATGGGCTAGAGGACAAGAGTTGTCTACACTATTTGCTGGAAGACTGCAGAAAAGAAATATTTTGTTGCTCATCTCTTATTATTCTTGTATGTCTAAATATGCATTTGATAATAATGATAATTGAACATTTGTAGGTGTTGAAGGGAAAACGCAAAAGGAATGATACAGCTCTGAATAATGATACTGAATATCATAATGAGTATGATAATGAATATCATACTGGCCTTATTTGATATTGCTGGTTTAAAATATTTTTTCAACTGAAAAATAATTACCCTTTTATAAAGCAGTGCTAGCAGTTTTAATCATTATCAATACTGAGTTGATGATATTATTAAATAGATTAAATGTAGGTGCTCACCTGTCATTCTGTCCTTAGTACATGTGTAAATATGCATGCGCTTGTTTTCTTAACTGCATGCATCCATTTACCTAATACTTGTAATTTCCATGCTTTATTCACAAACACCTACTGTACATAGAGTAGCAAGAATGCTTGTTATGATGGTTTATTGGCAAAATATCAGGCATGAAGTTATTATATATTGATTTCCTATAAAGATACATTTTTGGGGAATATGAGCTGCTAATAGACTAAAGTAGGGTGTGCAAACCTTGGCTTGGAGCCTAAAGATTTCAAAATTGTCTATTGTAGTTCGATACACTCTGAAGTTCATAATTTTTTTTCCAAACTTGTAATATATTCACTTATGTTGTTTCCATGCCTGTAAATCAAAACTGTACAAGGCTTACTCTACACATAACTTCAACATCATCATGGTTTATCAAAGTCTTGGAAAAAATAAACATAATTTTGATGGAAGAAGAAGAGGCAGGGATAATTCCTGGGGTGTAATGTTGTAGCATGTTCTAGATTTATTTTATTAGTTCTTTACACTCCAAAGTGTCTTCTTGAACCTCCTAATTATTAATCCTCAAAACTAGGTAAATGTACTTGTTAATTGTTCTTACCTGTGTGACTGCCTTGGTTGTTTAGATTCCTTCAGTCTTGCCTGTAACACAATTTTAAGAACATCTTCATTTCAAAGGTAATAGCAATGGGAAAATTACAAAGAGCCTAATATTGATTCAACTATTTGAATGAATGATGAAATTCAGAGATTCTTCTGTACTGAAGATACTCTGACAAACTATAAATTTGAGAATACGTCTCAGCCAAAAGACAGTCCTTTGGCTTATGCCTGTGATGTCTAAAATAGCTAGGTGTTTTCCATTCCAAAGACTTCCCAGATCCAATCTTGTTTAGATACCAGAATCTTAAATTATTGTATTTGCTTAGGTTGCTAAGGGATAACATTAAAAATACTGGCATGCAAAATGTCATTTTAGGATTCAGGTTTACTATACATTTAGGTGAAGTAAGGACTGTCTCCCAGAAGTTTCAGACTTTCTTCAGAAATTCATAGGTCAATTTTTTTTATTTTAATTGCAGCTTGGTTTTGTTTGTTTCCATTGTTTTGTTTTAAGCAAGGTCTTGGTTTCCGTTTTTATATGTATGGAAAAGTTTTTTGTAAATAGTGAATTCTAATGGTGCTTTCCTCAAAATGGGATCTATATGACACTAATGCAAACGAAAATTTCAGCAGTTATTTCATATTTAATAACGATTATTTAAATATATCTTCAGACTAGATATAAGGAAGAAATTTTTTACAATGAAGGTGGTGAAACACGGGAACAGGTTGCCCAGAGAGGTTGTAGATGGCCCATCCCTGGGAACATTCAAGGTCAAGTTGGACGGGGCTCTGAGCAACCTGATCTAGTTGAAGATGTCCCTGCCCATGGCAGGGGGGTTGGACTAGATGACCTTTAAAGGTCCCTTCCAACCCAAACCATTCTATGATTCTATATTTAATATCTCTCATTTTAAGAAAATAACTAATGAAACCATAAATTCTGTTTCTTTTGTTAAGATGTAATTCAGTGAATAAATAAATAAATAAAACCCAGAAAGTTCTGGAATAGTACTTTTTTTACCTTCCAGAAAAATTAAATAGGTTTTAGATAAAACACAACTCAGTCTGTACTTCCTCTCATAGAAACAACAGATGCTAAGATCATCAGACAGACTGTCTGGCACAGTGCTTGCTTACCATTGTGTCTACACAGAGGTTTATAAAGAGAGATTGACATAACCTACATCTAGTTTTCACTGTGTAACACATTAAAAATACATTTTTCATAGTGTATTAACATTTGCTTTTCTTTCTAGATGGGCTATTATATTTGTTCATTCTTAGGTCTTGTGTCTAATACTATAAAAGATAGATGTCCTTTAAACTTTGTTTTCAGAGTTGGTCTGCTCTCAGTTAAAAATAAAGTTATGACAATAATAACGTTGCACACATTAAATTCAGAAAATTATGGATTCTGAAACACACAAGAACTTAATTCAAGCACACAGAGAAAGAAAGGCTTTAAACAACTTCAGAGAATATAGTAAACTGGAAAAAACAACATAGTCTAATAACATTTTTCGTTAGATGATGTTGAATTTCCCAACTTGCTATCTAATGACTTAAAAAATAAAATAATCTGGAACTGCTGTATGTGAAGAAAATTATACCAGGGAGATATTTTACACAGTTGAAGATTAATGGGGTTTTTTACTGCTGTTAATGGTATAGCTTGAAATAAAATAAATTTTGACTGTCTAACTTCATGTACTTTCCATTTATTCCCCGAAGAGCCTTTTTGAATATGAACTAAACCTTGGGAAGGACTAAATGAAAGAACCAGTCTCACTGTAAACAGAAAAAGTAAATGCTAATGTGTGTAAATAAAAGAGTAAGTAGATAAGAAAGAAGCTACTAATATGCAAATATTCTATCAATGAACTTAACAGAGAACTAAACTAAATCAAGACCACATCAGGAAAGTATCATGAATGCAGACATTGGCAGAAAGTAGTCTGGAAAAAGCATATAACAGTTTGAGTTAACACCTTCGTATCATCATATGTAAGTTCAGGGTGCCTCAGAAAATATCATCAGACTGATACAGTTTAGGGGTCATTTCAGTGAAGCTTGGTTACAGTGAATAACCTTAATGTCCTCTTTGGTACTCTTCACATTTCCATTCTTGAGATACATAGACAGCGCAGTCTGAACCATTAAAGTACTTCAAGAGCACCAGTGTACAGGGTTATACTGAAGAACGCTCATTCCAGGTGATAAGCAACCTTTACATTCCATATAACCTCACAGTTCAAGACTCTTTTGCACAAACTTCAGCAAGATAGAAGGTTACAGTGACCTCTTTTACAGTTAAAGGAAGCATATTATTCTGTAAAAATTTAATCTTATTTTGTTTCAGAATTGTAACAAAAGAACATTAAATAAAAGGTGCTTCTGATTAGAAACAATACCAATTTTAATTTTGTGAAGACAGAGAAATTGCCATTATTATCCTTATTGTAAAACTAAGTAAGTGTTTTGTACTACATGAAACTTCTCCAGCCTGTTCCTTTGTAGCTAATGGGACTTTCTCTAGCAACTGAAAACCTCTGAGAAAATGCTGTCATAATAAAATTTGTATTTTGTAATTGTTAAGAGAAGCAAAAAAATTGTGCCAGGTCTGGAAAAATTATTAAATGCATTTGCTAGTACTATTGATTTATAATATTTATGTGTTCCTAGAACAAGGTGGTGTTTCAGCTTCTAACTGCTGTTACACAAAATGGTGATTTTGGAATTCATTACCACTTATAGTACCAAAATATAATGGAAGAGTCTAATTTTATTTTTGTTTTCGAGGTAATTTAGCTATCCATTGCTCCCTTTTAATATAAGAAAAATATGTAAAATGTATAAAGACTATACGCATATGTATTGTAACTGTGGATACATTAATCTACTTAAGTTTTCTACTTGCACTACTTGAATTCTTAAATTACTTGTGATTTATTTCTCATGACATTAGAAAATACTGTGTACATTTCCCACTCAGTTGATATATATCTGTACATATCATCTTGATCTGTACAGATCATCTTGAGTGCCATCACATGGCACGTACAGGACAACCAGCTGATCAGGCCCAGTCAGCATGAGTTTATGAAAGGAAGATCCTGCTTGACTAACCTGATCTCCTTCTATGACCAGATGACCCGCTTACTGGATGAGAGAAAGGCTGTGAATGTTGTTTACCTGGCTTCAGTAAAGCCTTTGACACCGTTTCCCACAGCATTCTCCTGGAGAAACTGGCTACTCATGGTTAGACAGGTTGTACTCTTCACTGGGTCAAAAACTGGCTGGATGGCTGGGCCCAGAGAGTTCTGGTGAAGGGAGTTTAATCCAGTTGGCAGCCGGTCACAAGTGGTGTTCCCCAGGGCTCAGTGTTGGGGCCA